GAAGGTACATCGCAGTGATCCTCGAATTTTTCCGCTCTCAAGGGGTCAGTTTCTGGAAGCTTCGTTCACTGATTGCCTTCTACTTTGACCAAACAACCTGTCACTGTGATTGAAGTCATAGACGCTGAAAAGACGGTCGAGAGCTAATATTTCCTCCTGCTCTCTCTGTGACGAATCTGTTCAAGTTCTGCTTTCAACAGCTTTTGTACAAATGAAAGCAGCATGAGCTGATACAATGCTTCAAACTACTGATCGGCCTCTGAAACTAAAGTAACATACTACTTTTTAACTCGTTCTGTTTACATGTTATTTTTACGTATTCGATTACGCTCGGGTCTATCATCTGCGGGAACACAGCTCGATAGAAGACGATGAGTTGTTTTGTTTCAACACTGTTTACACCCTAAATTAATGCGCACAAACTTCAAGGATCAGCATGATACATTTCGCGGCCATCACTTACCATTCTCCTAACGTCGTTACGATTGTCTTAGTGGATTTATCACAACACACTGGACCAGCTGTTCCCAACATTCTCTCACACTTGGTAGTGTATCGGGACATGCTAATTCGTCACATTCGATTTACTACTAATATGGGCACTATGACTGTCCGAGAAAGGCGGGGACTAACAAAACACTCGGTTAGTGCTAGTGCTTCTTCATTACTGATCCATTTTAACAGTCGTTAGACATAAATGGTAGGTCTTTAGCCCCTCAGTGCTCTGGTTTTCAGGAAGTATCGCTTGCATCACAAATTTTAAGCGGTTAGCCTGACCCGGTTCCCTGGATTACAAGTTACTTGGCTATCAGGATTTTCGCCATCCTGAGAAGGTAAATTTCTTGTTCGTTCTAACCAAAAACCTTCTAATGTCAAGGCTGCTTGTTGTAAACAGTTCTTCTTTGTGAGAATCACTCATCGTATAACTTGGACGGAAAGCAGCGGAAACAAGAAGTCTGTTTTTTGTAACGGAAAGTTCGTTGTGATAGAAATGCTTGTGGCGCCAGGAGTAATGATGCTTTTTTCACTTGGTCCTGAAATCAACGGTCACTGCGTCCAATATGTTTCTCTCTGACAGCTTGCATTCCAACTACATCATGCGTGCAACCCTCTTGCGCCATCTTCTGCGAGGCTCATTTCTTTCAGTTGTCTTATTTCAAATACCCACAATCAGTAATCATCATAACCATAATCATCAACATCAGCTGCAACAAACACCTACTTGTGGTTAGGAGCTGCCACAGAGTTGTTCACCGATGGTTTGGGGAGATGGGTTAGGTAGCTACGCATTGGATGAAGTGGCTAATGTAGTGGATGCATAAGTAAGGTGTCATCAGTGGACTTTTAATTGGATAAAAATTGGAGGCGAGATATGCATTGAAGGCACTAGCGTGGATGCACAAGCGTCACTAAAGGCGCGACTGGGCCATGTCTGACAATGTCTCTGACCATTGATGTGTCCGCCTCGGGGCCCCCATCCAGGGAGACGGCAAGACCAGCACAGCAGAGTTTGCTGGTAATGGCTTTCATACTTCGCTGCCAAGTCGTTGCTTGACCTCCCCTGGATCGTTTCCACCCTTCATGTGATTATGCAAAAAGAACCCTTCGAGGAAATCGGTCGACCTGCATACGGAGAACTTAGCCAAGCCAGCACAACGTAGGATGTGTGATCAGCTCATCTATCGTGAGTGAGTTATTCTTCCGTAAACCAATCGATATTCCGGTGTTCCCACCATACTCGTGCAATGCTCCGAGGACATCGATGGTCAAACAATAAAAGTATTTTGACGTCCTCGGCCCGCAGCGGCCATGTTCCTGACCCGTATAATAATATGGAACGCACCGCAGCATTGTATCGACCCTTGATGATGACGTCACTGATGTAACGCATACGCCACAGGTGATGCAGGTTCACTAAAGCTGCTGAGGCATTCCCAATCCGGATGGAAATATCATCTTTCGTGACTAATACAGCTGCCCGGCAGTCGAATTTGTCTAGCGCCTCAATCGGCTCATCCGTAAGCATGAGGTTAGGGCTCGAGCCCATCCAATCATGCAGCAGCACTCCACACTTTGCAGGTGTGAAGAGCATGCCAAACTGTGATGGAGAATTATTTGGATTATTTAATATCCTTGCATTACTATGGTGTCAGATCCGAGCAGCAGTAAGCAGTACGCAGCGTTAACAAGATATGGTATGATGAATGGGAGAGAATGTCGGCACCTCCCGGTGTCCTATCGAAGTCGACAGAGAAGCTGATTCCTGACGTCATGGCAAGATGCTAAAATGACGGCATAAAGCATTGGAATGATGGCTCAACAACAATGGGTGAACGGCTAAACAGATCGAGGAAAGGTATAGAGCTTCTGAACTGTTCCCCGGTTGGGTGTTGCGTCCATCTTTGTAACTTTTTTTGCCTGAGAGTTGTCTGGACTTTGATAGCTTTCCGTAAGTTTTGTTTTGAACATGTATTGAAATATCCACTGCAGTCGGTGCACCGCTTACGTGCAGCATTAACAGTTTCACCAGTAAATCGTTTGAGTTCAAAGAAGATTATGGAAATCGGGCTACAACAGTCGTCAGACCGAATAAAAACTACTGATGACCTCGCCAACAGTTCTTTACAACTTATTCCAATACAGATCCGCCCGTGGACGACTGGCTTCGCCTTATGTTTATCCTACGCAGTAAAAACCCTACAGATGTGAGGATATCGATCCAGCAGCATTTCATTCACCCGCCCTGATGGTTTTTATTAAAAAAAGGTTGGGCAAAAGTTGCCTAATCAGATCTGATGAATGCTTTTTCCTGATATGAAAGTATTCACAAATGCACTCAATCTACTGAAAGATAAACAGTACCTGAATCAGCTGTCTCGAGGTGATTCATAACCCACCCGAGGGTTTCGATACCATGTTGCAGGGACGAGAAAAACACAGGTTACTCGTAAACACGTACATGATTTCCAGTAATAGGAGTGCTTTTAGGCTGTTTTGTGGCCTTGTGCGGAAGCTTCAGGCTCGATGAAACCTAGTTGAGAACACACCACCAATATCGCCATTCAGGTGGGCGTGGTTCCGAAGTTTCATTGACCTTATTTTCTAGTTGAACACCGAATTATGCATAAATGAACAAATACACTAATCACCGTCAACTCAGTTCAACCTTTATTTTATGCTATCCTTCAGACGAACGTGCTGCACAAAGACGAACTAATGTTTCAGTTGAAGCTATACTCAGGATATCGAAGTATCCAGTGTCAGGATTGATCTAACCCTGCGACGGCCCAAACCTACAGTTACCAATCCACCTACAGCTACTACTATCCTAGTTTGAAAATAAGTGTTTGACTACACATGTGAACAATCTGGTGTTCATGTATGGAGTTAAATAAACGGAAATGGAAAGGATATTTCTACTGCTTGGGCCTCAAAATGACGAGACCGATGGTGGAATATCCAGAAGTTTTTATTGAGAGCATAAGTGCTGTCGTATCAAGGAACCTTTTCTACATCTTCAGCATGGTCCAACTGAAACATGATGTAACCTTCATGTGGCACATTTATCTCACAGACAAGATTCTCTCTTTAATGTTACTAAGTGTTTAACTTCATACGCACTTCACAAGCAATCGCGACCGTGTTTGATTGAAAGCGAACTATTTCAGTGATTCTAAAATTTCATCTTGACAAAACCATTGATCCGGCAAATGAATTTAATTCGATAAACACCCAGCTTACGGGAATGCGTTGGACGAATTGTTATTTCTTTTCTCTGACTGTGGATATTTCCTAGAAGGAGAGGATGAATATCCCAGAAACCCAACGTGTGTGCACAGCTGCTATGGATTGTTTCCGCGAATCAACAACGGTATTCCTCATCCCTACCTTGGAGTGTATTCGAAAGGTGTAGGCGACAGTGGTTCTCTGTTGGAAGTAAACAGTCTGCTGTCCTCCACTGTTTTGAACAGCATACACTCATTTTTTGGACACTAAGGCAACAAAATGCCCCGGATGCACGTGAGCTTACATGTGGTAAGAACATGAGCGCTCATAGGCCTATCAGCTATTGTGTAGGTGTGCATGCACAAGTGACTGCGTCCAGCAATGAGCTCGCTAAGTTATTAAAAATGGAAAGCCGGGAACAGAATGAGTGCGTTGAATTCGAGCATTGCTTCATTCAGATAGGTAGATAGATGGACCAAACAGGAGTCATTCGGTTGAATGGAGGTCATTGATGAACATTATTTTTTTCCGGAGTGCACTCACTATCAGCAAAAACTGCTCGCAAACAGGAAACGTCTCTGCATCCAATGGGTGAACATTACCTCAAGGTACTGTGGTGCAATTAGTCACTCATAAAACAAAGTTTTTGAATGAATACCTACTAATCTGGCCAATCAGGGGCAAATTCTTCTGTTCCGTCGTCAAATCAATGTAATTCTAGATTGATCTAGCCTCTCCGGCCACTTCCCTGGTAAAAATACACCTTAATTTAGGAAGGTGGTGGGCACTTGGTTCTAGATAAACAAAAATCAGCTGATTTCAGAAGTCAAGTTTCTCGAGAAGCTTTTTTCGGTTTTTGATCAGGTGGATGTTGACCTGCTCGCCGAGCTTGGTAATTGGCGTGCAAACGTTTCGTCACCATAGGAGGAGACATCATCAGTGCGCAATTGGGTGGGTGGAACCCATCCAACTGCGAACTGATGATGTGTCCTCGTATGGTGACGAAACGTTTGCAAGCCAATTACCAAGCTCGGCGAACAGATCAACAGCCACCTGATCAACAACCAATAAACTTACCCGAGCTACCAATATTTCAACACATTACCAATCTGTTTTTCGGATGAATTTCATATTTTAACCTAAGGATCCCGAACGGCTTCCAAACTCAATTCGTTGTCCAATGCTAGTTTCGGGGTCAGCGGCAGTCGCATTGAGTGAACATTTAGGATGGTCCCTGGAACGGTCTCTTTTTTTCACTGTTTCAAAATCCCATAATGTTATTTCCCTCATTTCAGGTGAGCATGATCAACAGCCTTTCGGAGCCTTTCATCACGTTTATTTCGAATGACCTACTGATGTAAAATAACCACTTTTCGTCTCATCTAGTAACTTAATTTGGTCTCCACAGTCTCAAGATGTCGCTGATATGTTTCACCGCTTTCTTTTTGACCTTATCAACTAAAGCATCTCCAAGCTGTAGCCTTGAACACTTTTTGTGGAATGGCTATTTTATATGTTCTTTCTCACTAATAAGTATCCCCTGTATATTCGTAGTGCACTACTCATAAGGTTGCTGAAACTTCTTCGACAACCCACGACCGGTTTCGCCCTTCTTGGGGCTCATCAGGTAGGCGCAGTTCCAGGGTTTCCGTCAACCTTATGTTCTACTTGAAACCAAATTGCGCGAAATTAGCGGAATACACTCATTTGCAAACAGTTTTGGTTTTGCGAGAGAATCACCTGGAACCCAGCTGAATCTCTCGTTTGTGATGTTTCCAGGTAAAACCAAATTTGTTTGCAACTAAGTGTATTCCGCTAAGTATTCCCTGACTTTTTTAAATATTTGGTCATTGGAACGAGCTCTCAAGTACAACCGAATCCATTGAAATAGCTCAGTCAGTTCTGTAGTCAGCAAGCTCTTTGAAGTATATCATAGCTTTGCTCGGATATCCCTATCAGATGGCCAACACCCTTGTCTACTTATCTCAAGCCAAACCCATCTCGCTTGTTCAGTCCGATACAAATCTCTACCTACAGGAACTATCGTGTAGTAGAATTCTATTATTCCCCACCTAACCCATTATCCAGTTAAGCCTGACGAACTGCGTGGTGCGTACCTATTAGGCCTTCTAGTTTCATTCGCACCACTTTTTAGCCATTTGTGCTAAAAATTCACCGATTCAGGCTGACCCTGACTTGCATCTCTAATCACATTATAAAACAGGTAATGGTCTGGGTAGGGACGCTGTAACAGTCAGAGATGGTCTTATTAAGTGACAACAACCGGGGTTGGTTAAAATCACTGTATTGGTCCAGTGATTGTCTGGCTTGGTGCGGTCAGAGCCTGGCAGTATGTGGTTAGACCAGAAGCCTACATTGCAGCTTGATTGCCACATGGATGTTATGGTTCGAACGGTAACAAATATCTAGACTGATCCCTGGATGCTTGTTTGTACAATGAAACGACTCATCCTGTTCACATCTTAACAGTCGATTTTGGTCCAGTTCAGGCTATCCAGGATTTGATTTGTTTGCGCCGGACAGTCTATTGTACTGCACCGCCACGTAACTGAGCTGCTGAGAATGGTCAAGAACGCCAAGTCTCATTTAAAGAGACATACTTAGATGAGGCATCAGCTGATTTTTCGACAAGAATCCTGACCATTCTTCACTGGAAGTCGAGTTTCAGTTCCATGGATGTGATCCCCACGCAGGCAAAACGCACTCGTTTTCACTCAGTCGATAACCAGTATGAGGTAGAAATCGAGCAGTGTTGTAACCTTTTTGACAGTCTTTGCCCCAGAAAATTATCTGAAGTTAAACTAGGGAACTAGCTTAGTTTGCCGCAAACGGTTTTTGAATAACGGTAGGTCATTTAGCTCGCCAAGGAGGTATGTCCAACAGAATCCATCTCCCCAAGTAGAGAGCGATTTTAAGCTACGCCAAAATATCTCCTCAACAGGAGCGCTTACTCTTGGTAAAGATGACTAAAACAACATATTTTTGATGATTTCTGCTACTATTAGTCTAATGGTAACTTCATCGGCTGCGATTAGAATATGATAAAATGTTTCACCTAGACCGAAATGAATATTGTGGATTCTCAGTAATAATAACCTGTCTAAAATCAATGTAAGGTCCTATGACCTTACTAGTGCACTGTTGAGGATAGCCATAATACAAATCACAAGGTGTATGCATTAATAAAAGTTTTTAGTATGGTTGACAGTGGTGGGTTGCAACACGTATAAAAATAAATACAATGCGAAAATGGGAGCAAGTCAAAAAAGGAACTTATCGTATGTGAGAGTCCCTTGGTGAAAGTCCAGACGGCGGGAACGTGCTTTCTCCGCGCTTTAGCTGCTACACATATTCCATAGTTGTCCGTGGACTTGGAGTGGTTGGCTGACTCCTTGCTCCCTGCTCTCGCGCGCGAGTCTGTGTGCGCTGACTGTGTTCGGTTTCCCTGTATGTAAGGTCCGTTTGCGTGTACGTAGGCGAGTCAGCACATGAGTTGTTGCTACGCTCACTAGACGGTACAGATAATCAACGCCCGATGAGTCAGCTTAATGTGACGTGGTTTGTATGAGAAAAAAGGCAAGCCTCGTGATCCGGTGAGCGACTGTGAGCTGAATAGTCAAGTATGTGGGTGACGGGGTGGCTACAACCTCTCCTCTCTGGTCAGGCAACCCTGTAGGACAGAGATTGCATGGCCAAATGCCTCACCACGACCAATCGCACCCCAATAAGATGAAATGGGACGAGATGGCACTGAAAATAGTTACAAACGTATAAATGAAACAACCTCTCAACAGCTACGAGCGAGTCATAGAGGTTATAGGCTATGAGCTGTTTTTCGGAGAGTTCAAAATTTTACACAGCTCGGAGTTCCATGCAACCAAGCGGAAGGATCGTATTCTGACAAGTACATGGCATGCCTTCCCATAGCTTTATCGTTAAAGAACAATAAATTTTTCTCGAAGGAAACTACTCACAAGTCTGCTGAAAACCCGTTGACAACCCCGCGACCTGTTTCGCTCTTCTTTTTTCAACCCTATATTCTAATCAAACCCAACTTGAACGAAATTCGCTAGCTACACTCATTCACACACCAATCTGATTCTCATAAGAGACTCAGCTGAATCCCAGCTTAATCTCTCGCTTATGATATTTTTATCATAAACGATAGTAGGTTGGGTCTCCTGTCAAAACTAAAGTGGTATGCAATTCAGCGTATTTCACAAACCGAGATAATTAGTGCGGTATGACCGATCATTCGCTCGACTGGCGTAACCTATCCATGAGTGTATAAGTAACTGGAAACTCTCTTAGGTCCAGCTTGTTTGAGAAATCCCCAAATATCATTGGGATGTACCATGGGATTACGCACACGTACACTTGTATACTGAACATTTGCTTTCATCATACATCAGTCAGCTGACTGTAACAGCTTGTTTGTTAGCATATAGCAACGAACAAGTATGTAAGGTCCGTTTGCGTGTACGTAGGCGCGTCAGCACATGAGTTGTTGCTACGCTCACTAGACGGTACAGATAATCAACGCCCGATGAGTCAGCTTAATGTGACGTGGTTTGTATGAGAAAAAAGGCAAGCCTCGTGATCCGGTGAGCGACTGTGAGCTGAATAGTCAAGTATGTGGGTGACGGGGTGGCTACAACCTCTCCTCTCTGGTCAGGCAACCCTGTAGGACAGAGATTGCATGGCCAAATGCCTCACCACGACCAATCGCACCCCAATAAGATGAAATGGGACGAGATGGCACTGAAAATAGTTACAAACGTATAAATGAAACAACCTCTCAACAGCTACGAGCGAGTCATAGAGGTTATAGGCTATGAGCTGTTTTTCGGAGAGTTCAAAATTTTACACAGCTCGGAGTTCCATGCAACCAAGCGGAAGGATCGTATTCTGACAAGTACATGGCATGCCTTCCCATAGCTTTATCGTTAAAGAACAATAAATTTTTCTCGAAGGAAACTACTCACAAGTCTGCTGAAAACCCGTTGACAACCCCGCGACCTGTTTCGCTCTTCTTTTTTCAACCCTATATTCTAATCAAACCCAACTTGAACGAAATTCGCTAGCTACACTCATTCACACACCAATCTGATTCTCATAAGAGACTCAGCTGAATCCCAGCTTAATCTCTCGCTTATGATATTTTTATCATAAACGATAGTAGGTTGGGTCTCCTGTCAAAACTAAAGTGGTATGCAATTCAGCGTATTTCACAAACCGAGATAATTAGTGCGGTATGACCGATCATTCGCTCGACTGGCGTAACCTATCCATGAGTGTATAAGTAACTGGAAACTCTCTTAGGTCCAGCTTGTTTGAGAAATCCCCAAATATCATTGGGATGTACCATGGGATTACGCACACGTACACTTGTATACTGAACATTTGCTTTCATCATACATCAGTCAGCTGACTGTAACAGCTTGTTTGTTAGCATATAGCAACGAACAAAAGTTTAGCCACCGAATAACTTCCAGCCCTATGACGCTACTTGTTTGCCTGATTATCCCACGCAGAGCAGTTTGAACCCAACCACCAACATGCACGCAGAACTACCGGATCGGCTGATTATTGGTGAAAATTAGGTGAAATTCACTTGTGTCTGAGAATCCTTTCTTTTAATAATCCTGATGCCCTGGGCTGTTAAGCTTCACAACACCGATTTTCAACCACGTAATTTTACTGATTCGTGGAAGCTAATTCACGAATTTTCAAAGAACATCTTCACAAAAAGTCTGTGAAAAACAGACTGAATGTAAGTTTGTTTGTACAGCGTCAATCAAAGAACTCTGTTTTGAATAGACGTCACAAATGCTGCTCCTGCTCCATCGCGCTTGAATTCCAGGTGCCATGAAATCACGTGATGGTCGATTTCAATCAATGTTTTAACGCTAACTGAGGGTATGGAGACTTTGAATGGATTGTGAGATGATTTGGGTACGTCTTATTTGTTGGTCCCTTCTTTAGTAGTAACCCCGAGCTTGTAAATTCAGTTATTACCTAGTTTGATGGATTCAGTGCCCAATTTACATCAGTACACTTGGTGGAATGTCCTCAGGTTATTCGATTGCACAGACTGAGATGAACTCGGTAGCCTGATACCTGTAGGCGCGTCGCTACACACATAAATGTTCTTTTTAACACGTCAGTCAGCTACTGACTCAATATTCAGCCAGTAAGTAACTAACTACAAACCTGATTCACTCGTGACAAAACATATGTTCAAGTTTTACTCGGAAATGGAGCACTTTGTAACTCTGACTGAAAAATTACTTCCTTCCAAATAAAAATCTCATACTTAAAAGCAATCCATTTCACTCAAATGTGCATTTCTTTATGGGGTAGGTATGGTATGATAGACTGGGCCTGCTTGGTCTTTTGTAGTTCATTTCATCAGTAAAGAAGAGAATAATTTCGGATCACCCATAGTTTCTCTAGTTGGAGATAATTTTATCGAAAACTTTGATACACTATAACCCTCTCAAAAGTCAAACCTACCCTAGATCCGAGTGAAACCAGATATTGCTCAACGACATCTACGCTTCAAAGATACCCAAACGCTATCCTCTTTTGTCACCGCTCCCAACGGACATAACGGACATATTCTCCTGCTCAAGTTTAAGAATGTTCTTGCTTCTCACTGGGACTATCAGTTTATTACTGTCAAAGGACATTCAGTAAACCCTGGTGTTCCTTCCTTTTTAAATGGATACTTTCATGTACGGAAGCCACAGATAGCAAGTGCCTTGGTTGGTCTACATGGCTGAAATCGTCACTTGGGGAACTAGTCATCATCGGATCATAGAAAGTGACGTGTGTGATTAAAAGATGAGTGCTGCCACGTTCCTTTTGTGTAAATTATTCATGCTACTAATCACTAACTCGCAGCCGAATCTCATAAGTGTTCAACCACTAGCAAAAAGACAGCGCAACAAGTCCCCAGGAGATTTGTGATTCGAAGGGAGACGAAACAGCTGTACAGTGTTTCTCGGCTTCCCATCAGAGATCAACTCCCTTTATAGGATAAAGTCTTTTGAAACCTCAAGATCTCTCCACAATCCACAACCCAAACCCGTAGCCGTCCGATGTACGATAAATTAGGCCATATTTGGCCACCGTTGCACACCAGATCTACTTCATTTCCTTATCAAAACTATGACTGATGTCATGACACATCATTTCCCTGAGAGATCCGGGATCATACGCGGTCACAGAATTTGCTTCGTCTTGTTTCTATGGTGCAATGCTCTGGGGGAGTCGGTTGTCGGGATGCAATACTGTATCCGATTTTCTCATATGTGGATTTCGCTCAGCAGTCTTCAGTCAACACAGACCTGTTGCTTGGTCCTAGCCAGAGAACCTAGCTGGTTTGATTTGTCGCAATTTGACCTGTTTTCCTCCCGTGATGCACGTTCCTAAATACCGTGGCTTTTGAACACCTGCAGATAGACTCATCCTCTACATCACTCCCTGTTGTTGATAAACCAAGACGGAATACATGTGACCTCGTTACACTTACATATATTGTGTCAACTGCTGGAAAAATTGTTATCAGCCCCTCCAAATACTGATGAAATTTGGTAATGAATGTAAGTGGGATTGCAGCCGGTTTCAGAACAATCGTGAACTGACTGGTGTTGCTTTGACCGCATTTGTTTCCAGGCAAAACCATCAAATGCACCAATAGTACTATTCGTACAATGAACAACCACCTCAGCTGGTACACTTTAGTGGTCGGATTCTCTAAAGAGCCTAAATGGCACTGACTGACCTTTTAATTGAATGTAGGATCGCTTTATTCCTCCAGTCAGTGAATTTGATGTGCACATTTTCTGTTTGTCACCGAATATTTTATTGCCACAGACTGGCCGGCTCTACTGACACTGCAATGATCATGCAATTACAGACGCCTCGTCAATGTGTCGAAATATTGGTTGCTCGATTGTGGTCGCTGGTGGTTGATCAGATGGCCGTTGATCTGTTCACTGAGCCTGGCAATTGGCTAGCAAATGTTTCCTTCCTTAGTTGAATGGGACGCACTCAACTGCGCACTGATAATGTTTCTTTGACTGGTGACGAGCCATTTGTCAAGCTCGGCGAACGGATCAAATGCCATCTGATCAACCATCAGAGGCCCTGTGTCTTGGGTGGTGTAACACATGAGATGCATACGCCTTGTTTGCACCTCTGCCGGATCAAGTTATGCTCACCCTGGTATGTCACCGGTGTTACCATCGGGCGTCTCATTTTACAAACCTTTTTGGATAACTTTTTCGGTTGACTTATTGACCTATTCGGCCGTAACTTTAACCCTACTTTGTTCAATCCTCGCTTTTCAGATCAAACCAAATCAGCTTAGTAGCTTGATTTTCATTGCAGAGACTGCGACTATTCACTCCAGGGCTACACAATTTGCGATTTCGGATTTCACTACTCGCCAGAAAATTCACATGCGTCAGTATATGAATTTTTCCTACACTATCCTCGTCGGACTCCAACATAGGTGTTTCACCAACTCGCTGAATGCATCGCGCCAATTTACCAACCCAGACAACTTTTGCTTTTGAACTCAGCCTTGAAGTATGCCAAAACATTTAGCATAGGCTTCAACCGATCATTCCGCCATGGATTGTCGGGCTACTTTCCACTTTACCGCTTGATGTTCTTCTACCTTAGAGCACTAACAAACTAGGTGAAGAGCGAAGCGTGCTAATATGCGTTTAGAAGCCTGAAAACCACTCCCGTTAATCCACTGAACAATAGGTGACCTGGTTACGGTTATCTAGACACCCTGTTTAACTTCTCTGTCCTGATCTGAGAGAGATATCCTTGGAAAGCTTCATCTGAGCTTGGTTCGTGGCAGCCCTGTATAGACAACGATATGTTGAATGTTACCGTGCAAGCCGATGAAAATATTGGAATACGTGCAGCGCAAGTTTTGTTCCATCAAGAACCAGTACACCAGAAGCTTCTTTGGATAAGAACTTGGTGCAGTATCCTGGGTTGAAAAGATCTACTAAGGCACATGATGGGCACTCTTTGAAGCGCAAAACAAAGGTACACATTTGTATCTTAAAATCTCAAACTGTCTGGCTTGACAAAGACCTTTGACAGAAGGCCCACCATGTAGTAACCAACCAAAGTTAACGGTCAGGTGAATGTTGAAATAACCGTAGAAACACGTAACACACTTTTTTAGACACACCAATAATGAACGGCCCGTCGACAATTAAGTGAACGGTTGTCCTCGTCACCTCTACGTCAGAAATTGCACCGCATGACTCAACATCGAACACTTCGTTTGATCTCGTTGTCGCTGACTTGATTCCAGTACAGACCTGACGCAGTTGCGGCCATCGATCGTCATAGCGCACTACAGGTGCGGAACTATTTGTTGCAGTAATCACACGGTACAATTGAGGAATGGGTGTTTAAACTAAGTTCTACCAAAATCGTCATAGACCCAACGCAACAGGCCGGAATGGAATCTATGATGGCGAGAAGAATGTTTCCAGTTCAAGCCGACGGCGTCGTGACCTAGAAAATGTTTTTTTTGCATTCTGACAGAGCTTCTCCTGTGCATTAAATCCGTGCTTGGTGCGTGAAACTCCTTCCATGACCACAGTATGAAGAAATGCTCCGAATCTATGTAATTGGGTGTTTCGGTCTGTACTGTACTGTGATAGTTTTCGAACAAAAGCTCTGGGTAACGTTTTTTGACGGATTAAGAGACTACTGGTCAACTAAATGTGCAAACCATGCGCAGCCTTGTGATAACCTCAGCCACAAGAAGGTAAATTTGGGGGGAAGCGGAAATGAGGATGATTATGGCAGCAGGATGTTTGGGCTTTGTGCGGCTTTGTCGCACTGGTAGGAAACGCGCCGCTTGCCTCGTTCAAATAACACGCGGAATGATGATTCAGTCACCAACGCTGGATAAATCATCATTAATTGTGAGCGACAGCTAAAACTGAGGCTCTACTGAACCCCCCTTTCCTAATATACTTCAACCACTTGTGTAGTAAAGCGGCTCCAGATCTTCCAAACACCTGATTATTTCTCCATTGTAGTGTGTACTACACATAAGATCGTTGTTGGACGATACTACGTAAGATGTGTGAAGTCCGCTTTTTATGGAAAACCGTTGGCAGTTGTGGGCATTAATGTGGGTACTATTCAGTTATTTGGGTGAATGAAAAAGCAACATTAGGTGACTGGTGAGCTAAATTTTAAGCCCACAAATAAGTGTAACACAACTGCAGCCACTTGTTTTCATTGTTCACATCAGTCTGGCCACACAGTCTTTCGGTGTTTGACCGTCAGTGTCATCATCCATGTTGTAGGCACTCTGCGCCAGCATCACATCTTATTCCGTTTCGGTCATCACATCAGCGTTGAAAAAACTCGTGTCTTGATGACGGTTGGCGTCTATCGGTATCCGTTACAGCATCCAAAAATGACGATCCCTGTGCCTACTGGACTCGAATAAGTGAACGGAATTGGAAGAAATCTCGAATTCATCTACGAATAACCTATTAGTAGCTCAGAAGTAAAACAATTCGCACAACGAGTGAAGCTTCTACCTGATAAGTCGTCTCTGGAGAACCTAGTCAACATGTGAAGTGAATTCTGAGTTTGAAGGACAAGTGACGCCATTTTGTTGTAACTAACTGTCGTTCCCGCTCCAGCGCCTTAGTGTCAGGAAAAGACTCACTTCTAAGCAAACAACTGAGTGCAGAAATTGCAAGGAGCATCGCGGTGCTCAAAGTGCGATTTTGACCTTGATGCAGGTTGCGTTGGGTGAACATCGATTATCTTCGGCCGCGCTTGTGTGGTATGCCTGAACACTCATCATCATCGATCGTGCTTCTGTGGGATGCCTGAACACCCATCACCATCGACCGCTAATGAATTGATTGATTACTTGAGTGTCCAATAGGAGCTGAATTTTCTGCCCCCGATGTTTTGCGGCTTTCCTACTGGGATTTTGATGTGGTTTGAGGGTCTCAGTAGGTTTCCGGCATGCTGGGATTATTTTCAAATATCTGACCTTACTGACATGTCTCCTGTCTGAGCGCGGGTTAATCGCGATGCTGATCAGCCACTGGTTGACTGTCCGAAACACTAGTCCGGAAGTCGTGGGTTCCCGGAGCCCCTGATGGTCCCCGGACTTTTGTGAGATGTGTACTTTTGATGATCTTCAATAAGAATCCAAAGCTGTACAGAGCTTCTTGGCTTTCCAGAGTAGACTTGCATCACTTACGGGAAAAAATATACACTCGAATTTCCAGTATCTTCCCCTATTACCAATCGCCTTTAAGTAACCTGGTGCAGATAATTCCCTCTAAGTGTCTCACGGGTAATAACCCTGTTGGTGTCACCAAAGAATGCTTGGAGTAAGAAGGTCGTATTCAGTGAAAACTACTCAATAGTACTTTCATGGTGATTAGACTTATCGATCTTCCGCTACTATGTCGTGCGCCAACGTAGGTTTCAGTGTTTACTGACTATCATCATGCGCAATTATCGTGAGAACATTTACCCTTGTCTGCTCATTGGATTATAGAGCGGAGCGTCAAGGTTCCAGCATTGTATCGTCTTCTGAAATCTCATCCTTGTGGCTGCAACAAAACATTGGCGTATGTTAGGTACTGAGCTCAGGTAAAGTTGTTTTGGTATCGGATGCCGGATTGTGAGAAGGCGACATAATTGGGACAATAATGGAAAGCTGTTTTCAAAAGGCTATGAATACCTGTACGAAATGTTGCTGATAGAAAACAAAACTAGTATATTGCATGTACAGGTAATCGTAACTACAGTCGGAGATCCATTAACCTAAGATCCATAGTAAGCAAAATCATGTGACTTCATCCTATTGGTGAGTGGGACTGATTGAATATCGATGGAGTGATACAAAATCGGAAGTGTTAGGTGGACGGAAAATAGACGTAATCAGATAAAAGTAAATGGGGCTGGTTTCGCTTCACATAATGGGAATCGGACTTAGAGGAGCGCAGTTTAAATATACTGAAAAATGAAAGTGAGGTTGTGGTCTCCAGTTACTGAACTCAATATCAGATCAAAACTACTAAACAGTTGTTTTCGTCGGCAAAATAGCTAAAAAGTAGGTGGCCAGAGCCCAGAAAATGCTGGGAATCTGTCGGTACTTAGAGATAAAGGTAGCTCTAAAAAGAATTTTACACCTCGGCGAGTCTCCTCAGTCGTTTTTTATTGAACTTTGGCGGTTACTTGTAGCTGGGTTTCGAAACCAGTTAGAGTCATAAACGGTAACATGAGTGCGACTTGTTTTGTCGTCCACCCTGTATTTAAGGTGTTGATGGTTGCGGGATCATGTATAATGCATACTCAAATGACTCTCTTTTGAAAACCATGCTTCTGTCCTGACACAATAATTCTGATGAGCCCACACTCAAGGGGGGAGCGCTGGACTCCAGTTTAGCTCTTATTAGAGCGCTTCAGCAGTTCATAAATCATGAAACCACCAGCAACTGAAACAAAACGTGTCCAGCGAAGTTCGGGCGTCTGTGGTACTACCTGACTGAGAAGTCCTAACCTGAGGGCCAGCTACTGAGTGTTTGTTCAATGCGTCGGGCTTTCCACTCACATCACTCAAGCGCAGACTTGTTTACCTGTTCAGACGTAACAATTTAGATACGTACAGCGTGCGCTGGTGGGGTAGTGGTAACATCTTGTATGTATTTAAAAAACCACTCATTTTGGCAAAGTTGTGGAATGTAGGTAACTCGGGTGCGCTGCTTGGTCGTTGATCTGTTCGCGGAGTTTGGAGTTGGATTGCAAATGTTTCATCACCAGTCGAGGTGACATCGTCAGTGCAGAGCTGAGTGCACAATCCACAGGCGATCGGCAACCTAATGTCGTAAGTTCAAATTAGGACAGACTTCGGAAACCATGCAAGATGCGAAGGTTTTCAGAACTGTTGTATCGGGACGCATTGCATTTCAACGAGACTTGTTTTGTTTGCATAGCAGTAGCGAGCACCACCTGTTT